AGGGAATAAAAATAATGATAATAAAAACAATAATAATGCTAATAGAACATTGCAAATCTCTCTCCAGAATTCCAATACCTAACATTGTTTTGTTAGACCACGTTCCTAAAAATGGTCTATAAGGGCCTCAAGTCGTGACCACTCTTTTTTCTCTTCTGCTCAGCCCCATCTCAAGTAATAGGGGCCTTTACACTCTTCCCTTCACACAGTGCCCATATTTCAGTTCCTCATGTTCACCAAGTTCCCTCTTGCCATGAAACCATTCTCCATGCTTTTCCCTCTGTCTGAGACACTCTTGTCCTACATGGGTTCACTCACACATGTGGCAAACATGTACTTTTCTTTAAATTTTAATCCAGTTGTCCCAAGAGAACTTTCCTTAACCTCCCAGACAACTTATGTTCCCATTTTATACCCTTGGAATGCCTCATACCTCTCTATTGCACTTATCATGGTTGCAATGTTATATTTCTTAATGTGATTACTAATTAATTAGTTCCCTCATCTATACTGTAAAGCTCCAAGTAGAGGAATTTGTATTCATTATTATATCCAAGTTATCCAACATAGTGCCTAATACATCATAAACACTCAATTTTCATTCATTAAACCAGCAGCTGAGGATTTACTATGTATAGGCATTACATCATGTAATCTGCATATTAACTCCATGATATAGGGACCATTACTACCACATTGTACACATGAGGAGATAGAGACATAAAGAATCTTTGAAAACTGCCCAATGTCACACACCTGCATACTACAAAATGGTGGAGATGGTGTCTGGTGATTAAGAAAGCAATGGTCTTAAATCTATAAATGGTTTTTCTACAGACATAACTGGACATTTTTATTCCTTTTTTGAAAGAAGTCATCTGTTTGGTAAGGTGCAAAAAGGTTAGGAAACTTCCAAGGAGTTTTATTCAAATATAAAATCGGCTAAAAATAAAGTTATAGAATTATGATTGCCTTTTTGCACAAATTTAAATGGTGGAAAGTACACTTGGAAAGATGCTACAAATCATCTTGACTGCTATCCTAAACATAATGTGGGAGAGAGATCATCATGTCTCAGCAGCCCTGAATAAGCATGGACAGCAATTTAGATGACATGGACCAAATACATTCCTCAAGGTGGTGAGAGAATTTGCATTAATCCAGACTTTCATTCAGAATCTTAGAAGCTGGAGTAATGACAACATAAAACTCCAAAACAAATCAGGTCTGGAATTCAAAGATCCAGTTATGTCTAATCAGCACATTTCAACAGTATTAACTATAAGATATGCTTAAGTAACTTAGAGTTAGGGTCTCAGTGGAGAGGAAAAGGAGTCCACAAGAAACTAATTCTTTTGCTTCCTGTATCAGTCCAAAAGACAGACAAGATGAACTAAACATCCTCAGTGAAAGGATCATAGATTACATTTTGTTCACAGTATAACCACAAAGGACTAATAAGATGCCTGTTGACAAAAAGCCCAGGCTACAGTTCTCCCATTGTAAATAGAACAAGCATCATAAGAAAGCAAAACCAGATGGAATCCAAACAGACATTACATGGTAACAAGATGCATTTTAAAAATATTTCAAAGCCTGGCTTCAAAGAACACAACACAACTGAGAAGGCTGTGAAACGGCAAGAGTACACGACTCAGGCTCAGAAGTAGCAGACATGTTTCTGAACAGCAGTCATGTTTCTGAATGGTAAAATCAAACTCCATAAGATTTAAAGTACTAAAATCAAACAAAATTAAAAATAAAACAGCAGGTTCCTTGCTGAAGGGGCCCTTAGAATTGTGGCAGTTTTTTTTAAATTTCTCACCAAGCAGCAGCAGTATTGGTTAATAAGCTTCCCTTTCTGTTCTCCAGCATAATAAACTGTTAAAACCAACTATCTCTTTGTGCTTTTTCTTAATATGTTAAAATAGGAACATTGGGAGGCATTTGGGAAAGAGGGTAGCAGTAGCAGTATTGTTTTCACTATTTCTCAAATCTCCACATGAACCAAAAGAACTAGAAAATAAATCCAAAAATTATTAGATAACATAATACCCTCTAAAAACTTTCAAAATATAAACAGGTTGAGGACAAACCAGCAGAAGCCACAGACCTTCACAGTATCAGACACTGGACAGGAGGAGAAAGATAAAGCAGTAGGGTAAAGTCTGAAGGACATGAGAACAGAAAAAAAACCAAAATAGCCAATAGGAATTCACAGGAAAGCACAGAGGACTAATTTGAGAATAGCAGCTGAAACTTGGAGAGTTTTGCTCTCTTGATAATTAAATGTATGCAAAGGATCCATGATGGAAAGAAATAAATAAGCAGGATAAATCTAGACCCCTATGAATTTTCAAAAAAGGAATTCAGCAGGTTCCTTTCCAGGGAAGAACTTCACATAGAAAAGAAACTTCTGAAAATGGAATTAAAATTCAACAGAAGAGGTGCCTCATTTAAGAGACATAGATACAGAAGGTCTAGAACAAATTGGGAGGGAAAATAAATTCAGAAAATTTCAGAAAACAAGCAGCCATATTTTTGTTCATAATTTTTTTTAATTTTTCAATTACAGTTGACATACAATATTAGTTTCAAGTATACAACACACTAATTAGACATTTATATAACTTATGATCATGCTGATAAATCTAGTATCCATCTGACACCATGCATAGTTATTAAAATATCATTGACTATATTCTTTATGCTATACTTTACATCCCCGTGACTATTTTGTAACTATCAATTTGTACTTCTAAATCCCTTCTGTTTTTCACCCATCCCCCTAGAACCCCCTCCCCATTTGGCAACCATCAAAATGTTCTCTGTATTTAATGAGTGTGTTTCTATTTTGTTCGTTTATTTTGTTCTCTAGATTCTACATGTAAGTGAAATCATATGGAATTTGTCTTTCTCTGCCTGACTTACTCCACTCAACACAATATACTCTAGGTTCATCCATGTTATTACAGATGGCAAGATTTCATTCTTTTTTATGGCTGAGTAATATTCCATTGTATATATGTACCACCTCTTCTTTATCCATTCGTTCATTGATGGACACCCAGGTTGTCTCCAGATCTTGGCTACTGTAAATAATGCTGCAATGAACATATCGGTGCATATATACCTTCAAAGTAGTGTTTTGGGTTTCTTCAGGTAAATATCCGGAAATGAGATTACTTGGTCCTTCTTTGTCTCTTGTTATAGCCTTTGTTTTAAAGTCTATTTTGTCTGGTATAAGTAGTGCTACCCTGACTTTTTTGTTTTGTTTCCATTTTCATGAAACATCTTTTTTCATCCCTTTATTTTCATTCTCTGTGTGTGTCTTTTGATCTGAAATGAGTCTCTTATAAGGCAG